TTTCCGCTTAGTCTAATCATTATTCGCAAATTACTAGGTGTTGAAAGGATGACTCAAGCTGCAGTTACTGAACTAAACTTTTGGTTGAAACTGTGAACGTATCAGCAAATGACTGAGTAATCCTGAGTCCATCTTATCCTATCGCATCCCACCCATTATGTATCTTGTTGCGTTAATTATTGCATGATGAATTTCTATTCAATCCATAACTTTGGAAAAATGAATTTTTAAATACTAACTTTCATGTACTTAACTGTTGCAGTTAAATGTGGAATTATGGAACCTATTCGAAACCTAGTAATCTGCTGAAATTTCATGAAATCTTACAGAATTTCGGGTGCGTGGTTCCATCCCACTAACAAAATTTGTCATTAATATAACCCATTTATTGAAATCAATTAAAAGCAGCAAATTAATTCAAACGATTATATTCAGTCATGCCTTTATTGTCTGTCTTTAAAAAAACTTCCGAGTTCGTCATTTCTTACTATTCCAGATTTAATAGAGATAAAATTGAAAATCCATCGAACATAGCTTATTTGAAATAGGATAGTAATTTCCAAATGAGATAATTTTAAGGTTTGATAGTTGGAAAAATTGTAATGTCAAGTTTACCATGACTACGAAGATGCTCAAGTCAGCGGAACAATTCCGAGGTGACGGGAGAGCTACCCAAGTCTGCCCGTCCAGCTATTTAGGCTTTGTACAAACGCTCAATCTTGCGACTGATGACATCTCCTAGTAATCGATGTCTCCTACTATTAACGCCTACTGTGCTGATTCCAAAAATTCCCAACAGTTCTATTTTGAAAGTTTAATCAGGCATTTATTAACGTCCTTAATTTAGCCGTTTCTCAACTGTTCAAACTACGCTACATAGGGTTCAAGCTGACATTGACCTTGGGAGAGTAGATACAAACGAAAAATTCGAATTGTCTTTGCTCGTAGAATGCAGCACCAGTCGAAATGATTGGTTGAAACCGTAGAGACTACCGAATAAGCAGGAAATTGGGACGAAAATATATAACATCCAGTTTGAATGTGTTGAGAGAATGGCAGAACAGACAAGGCAACAGTAAAGAGAAATAAGAGGTGGGGGGGGGGGATTGCTAAGGATACCGTAAGAAAAGTTAGTTTCTAAGACTTAGTAACCAGCTCGGAGGATTTTATACTTCTGTCTTACTAAAGGCTTTTTTTATGGAGCTGATTTCAACATATGAAAGTGGCGCTCCAGTGTGAAGCGTTACAACCCCTGTCGTCTTTTGAAAGACTTAAAGTAGTCAAAAATAGGAATAATGGAAGATCTTGTTGATTGATGCACTTGGGGAATAGTGTGCACGTTGATTCTGTAAGACCATTGGGCAGTTGCCCTCGAATATTTGTTAACAGATAAGGCTTTTATCTTCAATATTTTGACAAAATTGATAGTCATTACATACTTGCCATCACTGTTAAACTGTCGACTCCGTTAATGGGTTGATTCATTTGCCATAGGCAAGTGTAATCTTTAGCACTAATATTCCCTTCCATCATTTCTAGAAGTAGCCTTTAAGATAAAAGAATTGGGAATGCAAAATCCAGTTCGCCAAATCTTGGTTCCCGAGTTATCTGAGAAATAAGCTAACATCTTCTCCACGTGTCATCTCTTATCATACTTCAGAAAGAATATCATTTTATTAATCGGTAACATTCAAATATTATCATTAAATAACAGACAGAACAGCACATTTGGCGCTCAAAATGTGCGCAAACCTTGAGAGATTGCGTGTCACTATTTCCTAGAGGAAGCCTGTTGGCAATTCCTTTCACTTCCAAAGATAG